GGTACATCTACACTGTAGATTGAACGCAGTTCGACACCACTTCAACGGCTGTGACTTAATGCTAATGGCCAACACTCTTTGACAGAGAAGGCTCAAGATCTTTGCAAAACTAAACTCCCATGTTTCCATAGCACTGAGCTGTGGCAGTTCAGGTATGTCAAACTGCATTCGTTCTATAGTAGAGGCACCCTTAGGCTGGATCTACACTGCCATAGAATGCAGTTTGAACAGTATGATATGGCCAGTGTAGACCCCTATGAGATTTGAACTGAATTATATGGGTCTATAATGACCATATACGGGCAGTCCCCAAGTTATAAACAAGATAGGTTCTATAGGTTTGCTCTGAAGTTGAATTTGTATGTAAGTTGGAACAGGTACATTTCTTAAGTGTGTTTTTGTTGTTGCTTCCGACTCTTCTTGACCTCACGGACCAGCCCATGCCAGAGCTCCCTGTCAGCCATCGCCACCCCCAGCTCCTTCAAGATCAAGCCAGCCACTTCCAAGATACCATCCATTCATCTTGCCCTTGTTCGGCCCCTCTTCCCCTTTCCTTCCATTTCCTCCAGCATCCTTATCTTCTCCAACCTTTCCTGTCTTATTTTGTGACCAACGTACTTCATTTTTACCTCTAAAATCCTTCCCTCCAGTGAGCAGTTGGGTATTATTTCCTGGAGTATGGCCCTGCCATACTCCTTTCCAAATCTTGAACAAGTCTGTTGTTCTGTGGTATGTTCTTAATGTTGCTACTTGATCATTATACAGATTCCTCAGGAGACAGACAGGGTAGCTTGGTATTCTCATACCACCAAGAACTTATTATGATCCACACGGTCCAAGGATTTAGAATAGTAAATAAAACAGCAATAGATGCTTCTCTGAAACTCCCTGCCTTTCTCCATTATCCAGCGGATATTTGCCATTTGGTCTCTCGTTCCTCTGCCTTTTCTAAACCTAGTTTGTACATCTGGCAACTTTCTCTCTCCATGCATTGGAGAGTCTACCTTGCAGGATCTTGAGTCTACCTTGCAGGATCTTGAGCATTACCTTACTGCAGGCCTGTAGCCAGGACTTCAATTCGGGGGGGGGGGGGGGGGGCTGAGTCTGAGTGAAAGAGGGTCTACCCTAGCAAACCTTTAGTATCGTTACCCCAATACCCCCATGCATATGGGATTATTAGTATCGTTACCCCAATACCCCCATGCATATGGGATTATTAGATTATTTTCATCAAAAAGTGGCATCAAGACTTTAAGCCTTTATCTTGTTTAAGGTTCTGACCCACTGTACCAGCAAGATATTTGGAAATACTTTGGAAATTTGGTTAGTGGCTTTCTATAACTTTTATTAATCTTCCTGCAATAGGATGAAACACAAACCTGCATTCAAGTAGTAGGGTATAAAATACCCCATGACAGTAGGAGTGTTTACATGTGGGGTGTGGGGTATATTGAGTATAGTGATCAGATCATGATATGAATAAACATAGCAGTTTAAATAATGCACCACCTTTTTGCAAACCACCATGAAGCCCCTCAAGCCCCCCCCCCCCCGGCTACTGCAGTGGTTCTTAACCTGTGGGCCGTGGACCACCAGTGGGCCACGAGGACGAAAATCATCTGAATCAGAATCCCAAAACGAATCTAAAGTTGACCAAAAACTGTTTTGTAGCCCTTTTGGTACTAATGTTGGAGAGTGTTCCCTTTTCAAAGTGGTCCCTGGTCAAAAAAAGGTTGGGAACCACTACCTTATTGGCATGAGAAATAAGTGTAAATCCAGCTAAATGGAGCCCCTGGTGGAACAGTGGAAGACTTCACATGCAACTTCTAGAATGATTCCATCAGTGTTGCCTCCGAAAAATTCTGGAAATCTCTTGGGAAGACAGGCAGACAAATGTCAGCATGCTGGAAGAAGCAAAGACTGCCAGCCTACTCTGGAACAGGCAACATATAATTGTCCTTCTTTAGGGGTCCCTTTCAAATCTATGATACTACGTGTGTGTGTGAATTGTATATATCTAACTATACCTATGGCTGGATGGCTCTTTGTCAGGAGGGCTTTGATTACGTTTTCTTGTCCTGGTGAAGGGAGTTGGACTGGATGGCCTTAAGTATGGGGGTTCTGTGTGGGAAATTTGCTCCAATTCTGTCATTGGTGGGGTTCAGAACGCTCTTTGATTGTAGGTGAACTATAAATCCCAGTAACTACTCCCAAATGTCAAGGTCTATTTTCCCCAAACTCCAGTGTTCACATTTTGGGCATATTGAGTATTTGTGCCAAGTTTGGTTCAGATACATCATTATTTCAGTCCACAGTGCTCTCTGTATGTAGGTGAACTACAACTCCAAAACTCAAGGTCAATGCCCACCAAACCCTTCCAGTATTTTCTGTTGGTCATGGGAGTTCTGTGTGCCAAGTTTGGTTCAATTCCATCATTGGTGGAGTTCAGAATGCTCTTTGGGATTTATAGGTGAACTATAAATCCCAGCAACTACAACTCCCAAATGACGAAATCAGTTTTTTGAGTGAAGGACATACATTGGGTTGTTAGGTGTACGCTGTCCAAATTTGGTGTCAATTCGTCCTGTGGTTTTTGAGTTATGTTAATCCCACAAACAAACATTACATTTTTATTTATATAGATAGATTATCTATTGCATTACAATACAATTTAATATATACACATATACAAATATTAAGACGGTATTAAACATCATCCGTTTTTTAAAACAATTCACGTTAAAACCATAAAAGCACACAAAACCACAGCACCTCCCAAGGCCGTAGCCAGAAAAAAATGGGGAGGGGTTTGAAAATTTGGGAGGGGGGGTGAAAATTTCGAGGGTGGGGGTGTTGAAAATCTTGAGGGGGGGGTTGAAACATGCCTCCTAGCTCACGCTGAAGCAAAGAGCACAGCAGGGGGCAGAGCAGCCTTCAATAGCCTGCAGCTCCGCCCTGTCAACCACCTCCACCAAGTCTGGCCTCCTTAATGAGAGCATTCAACACCCCCCCCCCCCCAACTTGGTTGCTTTGCTACATCGGCTATCACTGCAAGTAATGACTGTGCTGTCACACGCTGGGCCTGTGCATTAGACTGTAGACAGGACATAAATTCTATGTGCCCAACGGGATGCAGGGGCTGCCTCAGATTAAAAGCCCTTAGATTCCCCCAAACAGAGTCTTTAGATTGCTTAAAGTAAATCCAACAAAGTTCTTTATTGATGAAAACAAACAGGTACTTTCAAGCTTTCTTAACAGTCTATTGGCTCTTGCAATCTTGTTCACTGGGAACAGGCACTATCTTCTTAACTGTAATTAACTAATGGGGAAATCCTTAACTTCTAATCTGGGCAGTCTGTCTTTGCCTCTGTTGGCGTGGAGCCCCTGCACCCGGTACCAACTGCGTCTGGCTTCCGTGAGTGACCCTTACCAAGCAGAGCTTTGTAGACTTCCAGGGGAAAGGAGTTCAGGTTTCGTTGATGACTGGCTGAAGTCTCTCAGCAAAGGAGCTGTAAGGCTGCAAAATCCTCAGCCAAGCTGTGGGCTGTATCTCCCCGGCCAAGCCGTAGAAGACGAAGCTTTCTACAGGAGCTTTTCATTTTATGTCCTGTGTGAAAGGCTTCTCTGTGTGGACTGACTCAAAAAGGCTCCTATTCCCTCCAAAAACCCAAAGGGGGCGGGACCAGGGAACCTAACGATTATTGACAGGTGGCTTGCCCTATGATTGCAGCCAAAAGAAGCCACCTATCTGCAGAGTCCCTGAAACTTAGGACTGCAACAAACATTCAATGCAAAGCAAACAAAATTGGAGCTTCTGGTATAGCTGTACCAGCACAATGACAGTGGGAATAAATTGTCAATTATGTCCTTACAGAGAGAGGTCAACCCTCCTGTTCAAGGAGCTCCACTGGCTGCCATTTATTTTCCGAGCCCAATTCAAGGTGCAGGTGCTTACCTACAAAGCCCTGAACGGTTTGGGACCATCCTACCTGCGTGACCGCATCTCCATCTACGAACCCACACGTTCACTTCGGTCATCTGGTGAGGCCCTGCTCGTGATTCCGCCTGCGTCACAAGCGCGGTTGGTGGGGACACGAGACAGGGCCTTGTCTGTGGTGGCCCCCCGACTCTGGAACACCCTCCCAAAAGATCTTAGACAGGCCCCTACATTGGCAGTCTTTAGAAAGAACTTGAAGACCTGGCTGTTCCGATGTGCCTTTCCAGAATAGGAATCTCCAATAACAAGTCCTCAAAGCACTTTTAGTAGAACTAAGATTATTGCACACCGCACACTGCACTTGCCCTATAATCCTCGTATACCACCTGCCACATCAGCATTTTTAATCCTGTACCCATTACTCTAGCCCGGCCCAGTTTGTATTGTGTCTTGATGTACTGTTATTACATGTCGTCAATATTGCTTTACTGTTTTTAATTTTGCTTTTGGTGTTATATTGTTGTGTTGTGTTTTGAGGCCTTGGCCTTTGTAAGCCGCATCGAGTCCTTCGGGAGATGCTAGCGGGGTACAAATAAAGTTAATAATAATAATAATAATAGTGCTGACAGTTTTGGAGGGACTTTAAATTTTTTGGGTCTCATAGACTTAGCATGGGGATTGGGTTAACCAGTTAAAATTCATGAGTAACCCAGTTTTTTTTTTAACCTGAAAAATTTCGGGGGGTGGGGTTGAACCCCTAACACACCAACACCCCCCCCCCCCTCCAGCTACAGGCCTAGCACCTCCCTCCTAGATCTCAAACACCTTCAGATCTGAAACACCACGCCTGGTCTCGAATGACCATGGAATGCAGTTCAGCGTGGGAAACGCTGGCGGCACTTCTCCCTCCCGGCCGCAGGGGGCGGCAGCGAGAGAGCGGAAGGCGCTGGCGGGCTCCCTCTTGCCTCGCCGCCTCTCGTCGTCCGCTGTCTCATCCGCTGGTATCCGCCGCCGGGAAGGGAAGGGAAGAGCGGAGGCGCGCGGGGCGGGGGAGGGAGGGGCCAGGCAAGCAGGCAAGCAGGCAGGCAGGCAGGCAGACACCAGCAGCCCGGCAGGAGAAGAGGAGGAGGAGGAGGAGGGCGGCCGAGGCGTCGCGAGAAGGCCCACAGACGACGACGACGACGAGGAGGAGGAAGAGGAGGCAGAAGGGAGAGGGCGCCTTTGGACGTCTCCTCGCCACCAGCGAAGGTACCGTCCTGGCTTCGGGCCTTGTGGGTGGCGTTCGCTCTGAGGGCTCGTCGAGGCCTAGTCTGGCCTCGGAAGGAAAGGGAGCGCCTCTTCCTCCTTTCGAGGACAGTAGCAGCGGCGGCGGAGGAGGAGGCCCCTTGTCTGAGGGAAAGCACAGGGTGTGTCCTCACGGGAACTTGACGCGCGTTCGGTGTCGTCACCCCTCCTCCCTCTCCCCTTCCATTAGGTAACCTTGCCTCGCCGCCGACGCTGCCAGATAACGCCGTTTGGAAAATGAACGCTAGAGACCAGGCCTGGGCCAACTTGGGCCCTCCAGGCGTTTTGGACTTCAACTCCCACAATTCCTAACAGCCGGTAGGCTGTTAGGAATTGTGGGAGTTGAAGTCCAAAACGCCTGGAGGGCCCAAGTTGCCTTTTCTCCCACCAAGTAGCTTCCAACATGTTAAAATACAACGCAAAATCCTCAACCATCAAAGTCACAAATACAAAAACATAAGAAGCCATTAGTAAAACGTACACCGCTTTCATCTTATGCCCTTGCTCCTTAGCTACAACTTGCACTATCTCTTTCTCATCTTCTTGTTTACAGTTTACCGTGTTTTTAGGACAGTCGACACTATAGGTTATTGGGCTTCAAATTGTTGTTTTATTTACTACTGGTTTATCTTGTAATGTATTGTGTGTTTAGTTTATTTTATGTGTTGATTTAGGCATTTTGTGCCATATGTAAGCCACCCTCAGTCCCTTTGGGGTGATGGAGGTGGGGTACAAAAATAAAGTTGTTATTGGGTTGTTGTAGGTTTTTGGGGCTATATCTCCATGTTCTAGAGGCATTCTCTCCTGACGTTTCGCTACATCTATGGAAAACATCCTCAGAAGTTGTGAGACCTCACAATCTCTGGGGATTTTTTTTTGTTATGTCAGGAGCGACTTGAGAAACTGCAAGTCGCTTCTGGTGTGAGAGATTTGGCCGTCTGCAAGGACATTGCCCAGGGGATGCCCGGATGATTTGATGTTTTTATCATCCTTGGGGGAGGCTTCTCTCATGTCCCCGTATGATGAGCTGGAGCTGATAGAGGAAGCTCATCCACCTCTCCCCGGGTTCAAACCTGCGACCTGTCAGTCTTCAGTCCTGCCAGCACAGGGATTTAACCCACTGTGCCATGGGGACTCCCATCTCTGAGGATGCTTGCCAAAGATGCAGGCAAAACGTCAGGAAAGAATGCCTCTAGAACATGGCCATATAGCCTGAAAAAACCTACAACAGCCCAGTGATTCCAGCCATGAAAGCCTTCGACAAACTTATTATTATTATAAATATAAATTATTATAAATAGCATTTTAAAACTCTCTCTCTATGTATATATTTGTAGTGTTGTCAAATCTTATTGCATTGATTAATATTGGGGCTCAGTTAATACAGGGGTCCGACTTTAGGTGTAGAAGGAATGTAGTTTGGCACCACTTTGACTGTCAAGGCTCTAGAATTTTTCCTTTGTAGTTAGGCGCCAGCACTCTTTGGTAGTGAGGGTTAAAGGTCTTGTGAAACTACAACTCCCATTGCATTGAGCCATGGCAGTTAAAGCTCTGCCAGACTGTTTTCCTTCTACAGCAGCGGTTCTCGACCTGTGGGTCTCTAGGTGTATTGGGCTACTACTCCCAGAAATCCCAGCCAGTTTACCAGCTGTTAGGATTCCTGGGAGTTGAAGGCCAAAACATCTGGGGACCCACAGGTTGAGAATCACTGTTCTACAGTGTAGACATCCCTTTTGGTGGCATGGAACACCCAGTGCCTCCTTTTCAGCATTGTTGTCTTTGTGAGTGCCTCCATTTTTAAATAAACTTTCTTGGCTGAAGGAGCTCACATCTCAAAACATGTTAGGATTGAAGGAGGAAGGGAGGTGGTGAGGTGATTACTCCAAACCGGAAATATTAGTAACCTCTTCCTTCTTTCTTTCTTTCTTTCTTTCTTTCTTTCTTTCTTTCTTTCTTTCTTTCCCTCTGTCTTTTTTCAACATGGCCTTTTATACAACCAACACCAAAGAAAAATGAAAGCCTATTTGCTTTGCTTTTGTAATACTGCATTGTCCAGGAAGAGGCCCAGTTTGAGTTAATTTCACTGCACTCTTCTGAACTGCTAGGATATTTCCATATGTATTATGAATTCTTAGGCTTGTACACTTTTTCAGTCCCCCCCCCCCCCCCCAATCATTGCATCATCATAGGAAATCATAAGAGTGAAAGTAATTCCCAAGATCTTTTGGACAGTGTTGGTTTCCTTTCTATTTAATTGGCCTGTTTTATTTGGTAGCATCCCACTGTAAACTTAAGGGGGAAATGACACTTGAGTGCTCTGCAAAAATAGTATGTGATGATCAATACAAGATACTTCTTTAATTCTTGTGAAATTGCTCGAAGAATAATACTGCTGTATTAAGAATATATGTTGTTCATTTTAAGCCTTAGTTAGGTTTTCTAAATCTGAAGCCTACACAGTTAATGAAAATGTATTCCTAAATAAATTCACATGCAAAATGTTATGCAGGATTTGCTTGTTGAAGCATTCATTCCAAGATAATGTATAATGTAAGAGAAAGTTTATATTGTTTATAAATCAGCTGCTGATGTTTTAAACTGATACGTTTCTAGAGTACTAAAGCAAAGTGGCTTATACATTTTTGAATCCAACTGTTTTAATACTACACAGGAATGTTCTAGATTGTCATATTATAAAATTCTGATAAAATAATGGACACTCCAAAGCACTAGTAGTAAAATTCTCATGGCTTCTAGTAGATCCCCGTGGGGTTTTTATAACTAAATGGGTTTTTATAACTAAATAAAGCATAATAATGTAAACATGATTTGAAATTCATCAAACTAAATTATTTAAAGTTCAGGAAGAGGAAACTTGAATATAACTATTAAAATAATGTTGTTCCAGTAAATCTGTTCTGCTTGGAACCAAGAGTTGGATTTAGTTCACAAACCTAAGTAGAATTCAGACTTCAGAAGCATAACCTTTTAGTTATTCTATTTGCCACATCACAGTTGTTACTGAAGGTGACAAGACTGTAAGATGACAAGATTGTCGGTGTTCATAAAATGTTACCAGCCTGTTAACAGAATTGTTGAAGTTTTGCTTTATAGAAGAAGAAGAAGAATGTAGAAGTTTGTTTTAGAGTTAACAATGGGTAGTGTGACAAGTTAAGTCAGTTAAGTATAGTAACATTTCAAATAAAACTACTTTGCTGTTTGAGGTGATATTATTACCTTGATAAGCATGATCAGAGGTATAGATGGAAGTGTCTTATTTTTGTCTTGATTCTGGTAGAAATCATAATTAGCAACTGTGTACTGCTTAAAACAAAATCATTGTCTCTAGTTCATTAATATATTGTGTGTTTGCATTTAACATTCAAGAAGCAGAGTTTACTATTCTAGTACCTCATTGCTATAGATCGATCCATGGGGTGGTTTTTCAGGGTGTGTCTGAATGCCTGCACTTATGGGTTCATCAAAAGGTTCTTTGATGTGTTGTTTTTAGATCCATGATATTTGTAGTGTTTCTGTAAATATTTGTTAAGCAGATACATTTAGATTGGAGAACCTACAACCATTACATTCTTGTGTAATATACTCCTTTGTATTTACCCATCAGCTATTCAAGTGTTATATGAAAATGCGGTTTTCTTAAGACTTACTCACAGACATGAGGCTATGCCTGTTTCTATGAAGTTATGTCAAAAATGCCCCCCTCCTTAAAATGTCTAGATACCTAATATAGAATGTTTGTTTGAGCACGGAAGGATTTCTATTTTTTATATTCTGAAATGGTAGATGTTTGTAATGCTAGAATAACAAATTGTACTACTCGTACTACTGCTTTTCCTTGACATTTGTTTTGTGGTGCTATATATAGTTCGTCGAGTTCTGCGTTTATCAATTATTCAAAAACTAGTTCCTTCAGATTGTTAAATGAATGTAATATGTCACTTATTTAATACATGAGAAGGCCTGGTTCTGGATAGTTTAGTCTTACAAACGTTTTCAAGGTCTCTTTGGGAGATGGAGATCTTGTGACTTATCAGATTTGAGTTTCAAGTCAGACTTGAAACTATATCTCATTGATTTTTGTGAGTGTTCACATTGCAGTTACAGGCCTTAGTAATGATTGTTCAGTACTTCTGATTTTAAATAATGCTCGGTATACACAATAGCACTTTCCCATAATTAAAGAGTAGTGGGGATCACCAATATACTTAAGGTTATATAACTAAATTACTTCAAAACAATGATACATCATAGTTTCAAGGACTAAACCCTACTTCTTCAGAGCTGATGAAATAGGCTTTATTGTCAGAAGGCTTTTTTTTCAGCAGCAGGCTGACACTTACGCCCTAAAGGAATTTTCCCAAAAAAATAGTTATCCTGAATGGTGTATGTGCTATTTTTTCTACTTCTTTGCTTATGACCTGACTTATTAGTGTCAAAGCAAGATTAATAATTTCAGAAGAGCCAGATGTAACCTATTGCTGTGCAGTAATTAATTTGCCTTTTAAAGGAATAAACCTAGCATTAAAAAGAACATCGAGATAAGCATAGTGACATTTAAAACCTCATTTAAAAGCAACATTCTTCTTTAAATTCACAAAATTGTTAGGAATAAAGAAATTACTTCAGAGTTTACAATGAATTCACTCCTTATAGCTATTTTTCACAATTAAGGACAGTAGACTTCTTAACATTGAGATCACAGTCAGGTACTGGAAAGCATGTATTAGGTAAAAGAAGAAAGAGGCCTTCACGTGCTTATTGATTGTTGTATTATATTCTTTAAAAAGGTTTAATACTTATCCTGTTATGTTAAAAGCTCAGTGCCTTTATTATTGAATAATCACAAAACCTTTTTTAACAATAAAACACAATCATCAATAAGAATGTGAAGGAAGACCTCTTTCTTCTTAAAATCAGGAACGCATCCTACACCTATCAACAAG